TAGTGAAACCATTTTCTGCTGCTTTTTGATACCAATAAAAGGCTTTTTCTAAATTCTTTTCTGTTCCTTCTCCATTGTAATAACGTAAGGCTAAATTATGCATTGAATAAATGAAACCATTTTCTGCTGCTTTTTGATACCAATAAAAGGCTTTTTCCAAATTCTTTTCTGTTCCTTCTCCATTGTAATAACAAAAAGCTAAATTATGCATTACCTCTTCATCACCATTTTCTGCTGCTTTTTGATACCAATAAAAGGCTTTTTCTAAATTCTTTTCTGTTCCTTCCCCATTGTAATACCTTTTAGCTAAATTAAATATTGCTACTTTATTACCATTTTCTGCTGATTTTTCTAAAGAATTAATACATTCTTTACACCATAATTCTTCAGTAAAGGGTTTATTGCAATATAAACAATTTTTGGTGTTTACTATATCAGCAACTGAGATATTAGATTTACTAAATTTGGTTTCCATTTGTTTTTATTTTAGAAATTTATTTTACTAAAAAAATTATTAAGACGAAAATTTTTTCAATATTTCATGAATTAGGTTACTTAAAAGGAATACTTTAACTAAAAGTAGAAGTTACAATAAAAAATATATTTTCGGGCCATAATTTTTCCGATGCACTGATCTGCGTTAAGAAATTCCTTTAAAAATACATTGTGTATTGTGTAATGATAAAATTTGCCGTTCACGTGATTTAATTAAAAGGAAGTAATTACATGTTCTTACAAAAAAGAATGGATAAAATACATTAAATTACTATTTAACATATTTATAAAAAAAAATTATTGTTAGTTTATAATTCTTTTTTGTTACAGTCTTAAAAATATCATTCGTTTATAACGAATATATACTAAATTCCAATCTTATACTATTTTTCGTTATTTTCTCAACAACTGGTGACCAAGGTTAAATTAAGTTTTTATTCTATAATATCAGATATATAATAAAATTTGAATTAATAATCATTAAAAATAGACTTATAATGACTATTTCTATTTGTGTTTAAACATGGGTTTCCAAAAAAAGAAAATTTTCTATGCTGATCATTTAATGTTTGGCAGAATTAAATTTAGCGGGAAAAACAGAAAACAAAAATCTGCTAAATAAGTCAAAATTGACATTAAAAACCAACTTTGACGCTTTAAGCTGATCCGTAAATAACGGATGATCTGGATAACCATCCGAATGACGGATCGCAACATTATATTAAGAAAATGAAAACTTCAATATTTATCTTTTTGTGTCTTGACATACCTCGCATTTCACATTTAGTTTCTCTGAAGTATGACAATAACACCATCTGATTGCATAACTCTTTATTACCAAGTGAAAAGTAAATATAAAGCTGTACTATATAATATTAGATAGTTATTATTGAGTGAGAGAAGAGAGATATCGGTTGAATACTGAATAAATACTTTAAGAACAATTGTATTTTATTATATTGATTTTAAAAATATAGTTGCTTCAATTGAAGTATTTGAACAATTACTATAATTTAGAAACAGAAACGTTGACGAAAGTTTATGGCATATCAAGGAGATACTTTATATTTCACAAGATAGAAAATATGACGGTATCAAGAAATCTCGTTATGTGAACAATAATTTTACCAAACTACCGCGAAGAAAATTTATGTGATTAATAAACATGCTTTTTAACATATTTAGTGTTTGCAGACTTATTTAGTAATAACTATGTACCAGTTATTTAATAAAGATGTTGTTATCAGTTATGGAATTATTTATATAATGTACCTCTAAATTACTGTTTCAAATGAATATAAAATATAAATCATCTTCACCTTTAACGTTAATATCTTCATTATGTGAAATAATTGTGTATGCATCGCAAGATCATTGAATAGAACGAAGTATTTTGTTGTACTCAATAAAATAATTAATATAAATCCGAAAAATTATTTCTCTTGACATAGTTTTTGTGCTTAATTGTGGATATATCATATTCTTTATCTTGACAAGCTAACGAAGTTCTCTCACTTAAGGTTTTCGATTTATAAAAATTAATTTACAATTTTTTAATAATTTAATTCAGAAAAATATAGATGATTTAAGAAAAAAAGTAAAGGACTAAAGGAATACTAGTTTAGATAGTTTAGATAGGATTTAATTAGTTGTTTGTTAGTATTTAGATTTATATTGGAAAATTTTAAAACAGTCATATCGGCATAAATTTAGCCGATGTAAATTACCTGCGGCAATAAATGATTTGAAGATCCGCGGGTAGATATTTTGGTGGTGTTTAGTAAACTTTTTTAAAAAAAAGGTTTAATTATCACATATTAATTCTTTGTTATTATGCATTTATACTTTGTATTGTATACATGATGATCAACAATGAAAATCTGCATGAACCTATTGGGCTGAACGATAATTTCTTATATTGCTTAAGTGTTTAACTCCAAGAATTGGATCTGCATAATTAATTTAACTTTATAAGTAAGAAATGTCAATCTTTATTTAAAATATGGTCATTTGATCAATCAACAAGTATCAGATGACATTACAAAAATGTCGTACCACTTTGATCTACAGTAGCATTATTTAAAGAATTGTTAACGTTAGACTCCAACATAATTTTTTTTTTTAAAAAAAAAAAAATTTAAACAAGAAAACCAACAATGTCGTCCAACAAAATTATAGATATCAATATTTCTATAGATGATGAAAATTATTTAAAGAATCTTATAATAAAATTTCGTAATAACATTATTAAATCATATGACTTTGAGAATTTTGAAAAGATTTCGACTAATTGGATGAAAACTTCCTTTGAAAGTAATGATAAAGATCCTGAAATATTTCTCAAAATAATGGAAAATCATAAAGAAAATAAATCTTGGTTTACAAGTTTAATAGGATATTTTTATCAATTTGGTATTGGTTGTAATCTTAATAGGGAAAAGGCGTTGGATTGTTATTTAATTGCCATCAATAATAATATTAATTATGATTCTTTAGATATAATAGATAACAATCAATTACATTTGATTATAAAAAATAATGGTGTATTCAATTTGTTAAGAAATAGTAACACGATTATTGGAAAATATTTATTATCATTATTTTATTATAAAGATTTTATTAATAGTATTTTATCTGTTACTGATCTTGAACAAAATAAATTACTGTTTCTTCTAAAATTAGACGGAAAAAGTAAATTAGAAGTACATTTTAATTTAATAATTTGTAGAAAAGATGTAAATGTTGATTATAAAAAAGTTTTTGAATTACTTTTAAGTTTGACTGAAAAAAAAAATTTAGATGCACAATATAATTTGGCAATTTGTTATATGGATGGAATAGGAACACAAAAAGACGAAAAAAAAGCATTTGACTTGTTTTTAGAATCTAGTATTAAACCAAATATATCTTCTGCTTTTAAAAATAGGTTGAGGAGTAAATTTGAAATGGACTTAGAATCTGCGATATCAAATGATTCAATAGCACAAAGTAAGGTAGGATGTCATTTTCAATCTGGAAAAGTAGTGAAAAGAAATAAAATAAGGTCATTTAAATGGTATTTAAAATCAGCTAAAAATGGATATGTAAAGAGTCAAATTAATGTGGGATCTTGTTATGAATGTGGTAAAGGAACGGACAAGAATGAAATAGAAGCGTTTAAATGGTATTTAAAATCAGCTAAAAATGGAAATGCAATGAGTCAAAATAATGTGGGATATTGCTATGACCATGGGATAGGAACAGATAAGGATGAAACAAAAGCATTTGAATGGTATACAAAATCAGCTATTATAGGATGTAATGATGGACAATATAATTTAGGATATTGCTATGAAAATGGCAAAGGAACTGACAAGAATGAAATAAAAGCATTTGAATGGTACACAAAAGCAGCTGAAAATACTAGTAATGCTGTAGCACAAAATAATTTAGGAGATTGTTACAAATATGGTAAAGGAACAGATAAGGATGAGAAAAAAGCATTTGAGTGGTATTTAAAATCGGCTAAAAATGGGTATAAAATGGGACAAAATAATGTGGGATATTGTTATGAACATGGTTGTGGAACGGGAAAAAACCAGAGTAATGCAACTCAATGGTTCAAAAAAGCAGCCAAAAGTGTTGTAGCACAAAATAATTTGCGAACATGCAAATATGGTGTTGAAATCGCTATAAAGGATTTATTGTAGCTTTAATTAATGGAATCAAAGTAAATAATGTTATTCAAAAATTTATAGTTGATTATATATAAAGCCACATATCTTCATAATTTATGATGGTGATTCATTTGGCCGAAATTTAAAGACTTAGCCAAACCAAACTGGTGTTTTAAATAATTATTTGTTATTCAATATATTTTGCATAATTTCTTTACAACCTCTTTGTATAATAGCCAAGCAATGATTTATTTGGCCTAATAAGCAATATTACCCATCATAACTTAAATAACCTTTTGGAAAGAAACAAACTGTAGTTTAGGAATTTGAGTAAAGAAAAATGTTATGTTTATATATTAGTATTTATCTAGTATTTTGCTGAAGAATTTACGTAGAAAGAATTTAGTTTGTATTTAAGAAAGAAATGAACTTTTAGTTAACATTAATTATTTCATTAAATTATTTCATTAAATTATCTGGAAATAACTTTTTTTTTAGCAAAAAATACACATCTGATTAAAATATAAATAAATAAATTTAAATTTTTGATGGGTCGCAGCTATAAGTATAAAAATAAAATATCTTTATTATGTAAAACTGCTAAATATTAACTGTTAATAATTAATCACTTATAAATTCGAAAAATTTAATTTTCAAATCATTATAATTTTGGATTACTATATTATATAACTTAAACTCCTTTACTTCATCTTTCAGATAAAATAATTCTTTATGACCATAAGCATCAGTGAAAAAATGATTTTTAAAAGCAAAGTATTTAACTCTTTTCATTTTCATAATATATTCTTTTATATTGTATAACATATTGTCTTGCCCAACTTTTTCTCGTTTTCTATCCATTTTATTACTAAGTAATAACTTCTCGATAAAAGTATTGTGAGAATTTATCAAAAATATTTCAAAATCTGTAGTATTCATAACAAGAGTCAAATCTAAATATTCTAATTTAAAAGGAAGTATTTGACCTAAATTTTGCAGTATAATTGATCCAAGTTCAGTATCTAAACCTGATCCAAAATCGTAATTTGTATCAATAGTAAGATAATTAAGGTTTTGTTTAATGTTTTCAATTAAGTTGAATGTTAAATAGATGTTCTGATTACTAAATTCAGTTAGTTTAAAGAATTTAATTTTCGTACAATATCTTGTAATTAATTTAAGTATTTTTGATTTTGACTCAAGGAATTGTGAATCTGATACACCATAATAAAATGTATTAGGTTCAAATGATAATCCAAAATTTTCCAAATAATCTCCAGATTTTTGTAATAATAAATCTATTGACTCGAATATTTCATCTATAATTAAAGATTTTAATTTAAATGGTTTAATTGAATTAATTATTTGTTGAATAAAATTAGAACCTAAAGAATAACAATTTATAATATGAATAGATTCTAAAACATTTAATTCTTCAAATACTTCATTTAAATTATTTATATCTTTAAAATCAATATCGCAAAATATAATTGTGTTTAAAGTATTTGAACAATTAGAATTCAATAATATTGGAGGAATTTCATCAATAAAGCAAATTTTTTTAAGATTTTTTTGTGATTTAATTAATTGTGATAAATATTCAATAGCTGTACTATCTTTATACTTAACAAAATTTGAAATATGAAGTGATGAAATTGAATTGCAATTAGAACTTAAAAATTTTAATAAAGGAGCATTAATATCAAGATAAAGAATTTTGATATTATAAATGAAATTTGAACTTTGTAAAACTGATTCAGAATTAATATCAAAATATTTATGATGATATGTAATATCAAAAGCATATAAATTTGCTTTATTTTCAATGAATATTTTAATTAATAATTTATGAAAAAATTTTATGAAATCTAAATTTTGTGTATTCTTAAGAAATAATAATAAACATTGTTCATTTTTTTTAACAGCTGCAACCCAGTTTTCAATACAATCACCAATCAAATGAGCATCTAAATGTTGAATAAAACTAGGATAATTAAATAATGTATTTGAAGGAGTTAAATGATTTATACCAAATTCATTTAATTTTATTTTATCATTATCATTTAAATTAATCAAATAATTTTCAATAAAACGAATTTCATGATATTCAATGTTATAATAATTTTTATGAGATATAATTGAAAATGGATTTTCCCATAATAATGGAATTGCCAAATGACACCATAATCTATTGACTAAGATACAAGAATGTAATGTTGAAAAATCATTCCGAAAATATTGCATAATATCGCTTAATAATTCGGGTAATTCTCCTGAAAATATTTTTGAACACGCCATATTTAAGTGAAAAAAAGAAAGGGAAGGAGAGGTTTTTGTTTGAAGTTTGGTTTGTGGTAAATTAAATTCATTTTCGGAGTTACGACTCCGATATTGTTGCACAATTAATTTATGCATGTCGATCACTTCGTTCACTTGAGATAGAAATTGAGTCTATTTGATCCCGAATATGGAAACGCTGTGTAATTAAGAGGTACAGCTTCAACATAATCAACGCCACTTCGTAAGAAATAATGTATTTCAGGTACATAAATATAGGTCATATAGAATCTGCACACAACACATGTTACACATGTTTCCGGAAATCGATATATCGTATATGATTCTATTGAAAATTTTGGAAGTACGGTGATAGTGACGATATCGTGTTTGTAGTTTGCGTTTGCTTCGGTTTTCGCAAGACTTAAACACTTGATTTCCTAGAAAATCGTGATTACTGAAATGATTCTTATGGAATACAAAAGAATTTCGCTTTAGTTATAAGGACAAAGAAATTATTCTCAAACATTCAACAGAAATGTCGACAATCTTTGGACACACTCTTTTCATATAAATTATCACCTCTTATCCGGTCTGTACATAATATTATTTACAAATATCTGCGTTAGTTTCTTGCAACAGCAAGTTTTTCATTAAGTAGACAATCCTTTTTTTGGTAATATTAGTTTTCTCTCACATATGCGAATAAAGAAGATTTTCTGAAGGAATACTAGATGTTTTCTGGGATAAAAACAAATAGGTGCTCTATGATCGTTCAGCAGAGTAAAGTGTTGTAAGTGCGTGAAAACTTTGCAATTGCCAAGGTCTACAAACTTTATATCTTATGAAAATACCAAAAGGGATATGATTTTCACTATATTACTAATCGCAATGATTAACTTGGAAAGGGGGAAGTTTTGAAAATCAGAATATAAATAAGTAGCTTTTATTAATCGTGGCAGAATCATGGATCTTATTTGAGTGAATACTGGGAATGACGTCAACTTCCAACTTCCTTATATAATAACGAGGCAAGAGACTTAGCCTTATGGAAAACTGAGATGCCCAACGAAGCAGAGGACGTTATTACAAATCTCGTTCTTGTTGAGAGTGATAACCTGACAAAATTCACAGCAGGTGAATTAAATGGATTCCGGGAAGGAGATTTGGGTCGATCTCTCGAAAATCATACATCATTTTGAAGCAAGAATTAACAGGAGTATTTGCGTGTCTAGAATCACAGGATCGAGGTAGAAGTTCATTCTTAGAGTCTAGGGTCTAGAAATGTCTAGAAATGCATTTTTTTTCGTACATGATATAAACTTATATTATAACATTTTTAAAGAACACGTTTCAGTTATCTATGCGAAGTTTGTATTGTTTTTATCCTTATCAAAGGATTTATTAGCGTAATCTTTTAACTTTACTTGGTATACATCAACAGCATAGCGGGCTTTCTCATTTATCACATTAATTTGCCGATCATTTTCCGATTTTATCACATGATATAAAATGCCGTTACAAGACATTGCATAAATTTCTACATATTAATATGACCTCAAATATTGCAAATAAATTTATTGCACTTTAAATTTTAATCATACAAAGTTTTATTCAAATTGAATTATTATTGACCGATTTTTGCAAGTAGTAACTTTTAATTTAATGCATTTTACGTAATTTTTTAATATAAATGACTGGAAGATTTAAAAACTCACATAATAATCGTACTTTAAATCTTGCAAACTAATAAATATTAATAAAATATATTTGCAAAAAAAATTTTATTAGAATCTGAAATAAATTCAAGAATTTTAATATGTACCTTCCATATAAATTAAAAATCCATTATAATTCCTGTTGCAAAATCATAAATAACTCAACATATATGCATGCCAGAAAAATGAATTTATATTTATTTGAAAGGAGAGAATGAGATCTATCCAAAAAGTTAAAAATCGCATTGATTGAATCATTGGTTCCTTAATAAATACGCTCAACACATTTACTATCAATTTGACATAAACTCTTGCATTTGAACGTAAATATCTCCTTATCTAATGATTCAATTTGCATGATTTTTGATTCCAAAATTAGAGCCCATTTACCCCTTTCAAAGGAATATAAAATTATTCATTTAGCATATGTGTATGTTGATAAATTAACGATAATGTCATTACAATCAAAACCTGACACAAAATTTAAATTATATTTCTTACCAATAGTTGTAGCCATAAAACTCCTTTCACTTTATTTAAAGGATGTTGTTTAAGCTTTTAATAGAATATACTGATGAAATTCATAAGTCAACTCCTAAAAAAGATGAAGAAATAATTAGTTTATTAATAAAGGAAAAAAAATTTCTAAAAATCCTATCTGATCCTTTAAATGGTAAGGAGTTCTATCAATAAAGAATTTTTTTGACACTAAACTTATTTAAAACTTTATAACTTACACTTAAGAAGAACCTGGAGTGTCAAAATATATCTTTATTTGATTCCAACTATTTTTTGTCAAAAATTCTTTGTAAAGCCAAATAATATAAACGTACTATACATATTTTCATTTTATAAGAAGGTTTCAAGTGTTTATAACTTCTGGATTCCACATCCAATAGCCAGATTCCTTTGTAATATATTTAAACAAGACCTGAAGAATCAATTTTTTTTATCGTCCTTTGCTATTAAATTTTTTGTGGAACAATTAAAATAAATTAGTACAGCTATAACATGTGCGATACATATGATATCCAGCCAATAAAATACATATCTATATATAAACAATTATGTCAGTATTACGTCATTTAAAAATTACTAGAAAATGTGAATTTTAGTATTTATTATGGCGCCATAACAGATAATTTATTAAATAAAAAACTAAAAATAATACATATGCCGATCATCATGTGATTATTCAAAAATCGGAAAGCCTGCTATGTTTACATCAACAGATTAAAAGAATTCATCATAAGATACCGAGTATTTTTAATAAAGAACTTAATCAATATTATTTCCCATCATTTCGATAGAATTTATTTTTTTATAAATAAAAATTTTAAATCATGAAATATTTGTATTATTTGAAATTACAGTCGACCCCCTATATAGTCACCCCCCGTATAATCACAACATATAAAATTCCCTTTATAAGCACTCCATATTTTGGCCCAATGTACTAATAAATATATTAGAAAAACCTCCTCTATAGTCACAACATATGACTTTTTTTATAATCACACCCTTTTTTTTCGGTCCCGAGGGGTGTGACTATAAAGGGGGCTGACTGTATTTACTTTATTATAATTGTTAAATTTAATATGGAGCGAAAGTAGAATAATAGAACTCATCACTAATATTCATAATATAAAAGGGGTAATATTTAATTTTAAATTCAATTTTCTCACTATATAAATACTGCACTTATTGCACTATATTTATACGATAGATTCTATATTATTTTGAAATAGTTGCTAAAGGATTTTGTGATTTATATCGTAAATTTATATGAATAAGATTATAAGATGGAAAATATATAATATATTTTTTTATAGAATCACATATCGAAAAATTTGAAAAAACACATTTTATGACAAATCGAAAAAAAAAGAAGAGGTTGAGACAAACCGATTTTTTTGATTCAACTTTAATTAGCAAGTGATATTTAAATAATCAAATATGCAATTTAAACCGAATTGATGTTTTGCAATTTAATCTAATTGTAGTCTTAGGTTTAGTGAAAAGCCTCATCCAAAAACATTTATACAAGTATAATAGTAAATTATTAACCTCTTACATTTATAGTAGTATTCCAATAAATACGTAAAAATATCGGTCATTAAAATTCCCCATATAATAATATGAAAAAATAAGAAAACATTTCGTATAAATATTTGAATATTTTTTGTTACTGTATTAATATTATAATTAATGTATGCATTTTTTTATTATCTGTTGTGTAATGTGAAAATAATTCAGTTTTTCGCAAAGTACAAAGGAATTTAAATTTGAATTAATAAGGCGCAGCTAAAATAATAAATAATGTTGAAAAAAACCTTCACAGTTAAAAAGGGAACTTAATTTGTTTCGAAATTCACTTCAACTTAAATGTATAAGGATTTTGTAAAACTCTTATCCGAATCAGAATATAATAAACGGTTTAAAAAAAATTCATGATGTGTCGTTTAAAAATTTCGTCATTTCTGAGAAGGTCGATGATTTTTTTTTTTTTATTTGGTATCACGTGATATTTATAATTAAATGGTTATAAGTTAAGCATATTAAAAATAATTAATAGTTATTCAGTACAAAGTGCAGAATAACTGTTATATTGGTAGATTGGTTGATCCGGGCTCCGCAGAATCCCGAGAACGTGATTTGGATATTGCTGTTAAATGATTCAACTGCAGAATTTTATGATATATAAAAGATTCGATCGTCAATTGATTTGACCTAAAAATAAAATTATTGCTTCTTATGACTTAAATATTGTGTCTTCACAAAAACCGTGAGACGTTTTACAAAATAAATGAAATGTAATACGGGGTAAAATATTTAAAAAATTTACCGGTGGTAGCAAAAATCTTACGTTACACTTAATAAACAATCATGTGATCTAATATTTTAATTTAATTGGTTACACTATATCTTACAAGGAAACTTATATTAGAATGCCCTAAGTGAGTAAGTGTGGTATGCAATGTCAAAATCCCATTCAAGAGGAATAATATGAACTATTAAACAAATCGGCAAAAGAACATTTAAGGGCCGTAAAGAAGTTTTACGTTATTAAAACTAAACTATTAAGGTTAATCACTGCAATATTACGTCACATTATTATTTCTATAGTTTTATCATTTTTGGTTAGTTCGTCAATATTTTATAACTAATTGACCAAATTAAATTATAGAAAATAATAATGCAAATTCAAATTCTTTCAAGAGTAGGGCATCAAAAAATTGTTTGATCGATTAATTGATAGATCAATACGATGCCATAATCGATCGTCATTGAAATAATCGTTTATCGTCTGCATTTCTATAATTTTATCATGTTTGGTTAGTTTATCCATATTAAAATTTAAAATTATCACGATCTTTCATATTGGGTACTTCATAGACAATCTATAGACAAACGAAAAATTTTTTTTATATTATTAATCAAAGAGGGCTTGTAATAAATCTTGTTGGTTAATAAAAAATATATATATACATACATTACGAAAAAAATTTTTTTAAAAAATATTTTATTTTATTTTGAAATATGGCTCAAGATTCTACTTCTCCCGTCAAAACTACTAAAGCTCTCGATGATTATGTCTTATTGGGACGTAGTGGATTGAGAGTTTCTCCATTATGTCTTGGTACTGTGGTAAGATTTTTTTTTTGTAACTGAAGCTAATCAAAATTATTATGAACATCTTTGACTAAACATTTATTATTTTCACAATTATGCTGTATATTTAAGACTTTTGGCGAAAGTTGGGTAAGTTATATACTCTACATTAAGAAATGAAAATGATGTCTGAATTTCATTAACACTTTATAAATAGGGAGTGGGCGTTAATAAAAAAGAATCGAAAAAAATTTTTGATCTTTATTACGAAAAGGGCGGAAATTTTTTTGGTAATTTTTTTAATTTACGTAGTCACTAATTGGTCATGTCATGATTATGATGAATATTTTAATAAATAACTTGAATCTTTCAGATACCGCCAACATTTACAATTTTGGTGAAGTAAGTATTAATATACTAATTTTTTTTATTTAATTTAATATTAATTAATATTCATTAATAAATGATTAGAGTGAACGTTTCCTTGGAGATTACGTTTCTGATAAACGATCCGATGTCGTGATAGCAACAAAATATACGAGTATGAATCAATATAATATCATTCAAATTCGGAATTTTCAATAATCTTCGAGATTTATTTTACAGATAATCCAACTGCTATGCAAGCGGATCAGAGATTCAATCCGAATTTCGGTGAGTTAGTAAACTATTATAATATGGTATTGAATATTTTTAATGTTAATTGATAATTTAACTGTTAAATATATAGGAGGAAATCATCGAAAAAGTCTTGTGGAAAATTTAGATGCGAGTTTGAAACGATTGAATATGAATTATGTTGATATTTTATATGCTCATTTGTTTGAATATCGAACTCCAATCGAAGAAATGATGAGATCATTAGATGACGTTGTTCGAAGTGGAAAAGTAAGCAACTCATTTTTCGCTACTACGTGACTTTTGGTCATTCTTATAGTATTTACCTGAATAATATTTTTCTCTATATTATTTTTTGAAAAAAAATAGGCATTATATGTTGCCGTAAGCGATATTCCATCTTGGGCACTCTCTCGTGCTAATACATTTGCGGAATTACGTGGATGGAGGTACAAAAAATTTTAACTTGATAGATAGTAAAGATGAACTTCAAATTAACGTATATTAATCAACCATGTTTAGCCCTTTCATTGGACTTCAAACGCGTTATAATTTATTGAATCGATCGTTAGAATATGACTTACTACCTTCTTGTGCTGAACTTGACGTGTGTATTATAAAATTAAATTCATATTTATACTATAAATTATACATAATTATACTAATTCTATGTTTAAAAAAACTTTTAGATTGGAATTATTCCGTGGGGTGTCGTCGCCGAAGGGTAATTATTAATCATTGTCGCATTTTTTTTTATATTAAAAGATAATTAGTGTACTAATTGTTTTATAATAGATTTCTTACCGGAAAACATACGAGAGAATCAACCGCTAATTTAAAATCGGAAAGTCGCAGTCACAAAGTAGCAAATCACTCAAAAGTTGAAAAAAATTGGAAGATTTTAGATGAAGTTATTGCCGTTTCAAAAGAGATTGATAGATCTCCTGTTCAGGTATTTAATCTTTAAAAATAATATTCATTTTATTGAAAAAAAATTAAAAATTATAGTTTTAATGTTTTTTTTTTCCTAATACATAGATTGCTACAAATTGGGTTCTACAAAAACCGGGGATTACCTCTTCTTTAATTGGTGCCAGAACAGTTTCTCAGCTTGAAGAAAATCTTAAATCGCTTGAATTCAAGTAAGGATAATAATTATTTAAGAAAAAATTTTTCTTAATTTTTACTTTAAAACTTTCTAATATATAAATAATCTTTTCAGATTGACACCTGAACAAATGAAAAGACTTGATGATGTTTCTCAACCAGATGATTTTCCATTTCCTTATTCATTTACTGACCAATTTGATAAATATATTGGAAAAAACATACAAATGCCAAATAAATTTGCATCTATTGCGAAAATATATAATTATGGAAGTTTATATAATTAAATCATTAACTTCAAATTATTTAAATTATTTTGTATATTCAATGTTAACGTAATTTAATCCAAGAAATTGGATTGTCGCCTTTTTTTCTCGATTTTATCGTAAAATATATTTTAGACTTATTTTTTCTATTGTATTTATTCTTTTGACGCTATTAATAAATTATTTCCTTTATTTTATACATTAAAATGAAATTAAGTAATAAAAGATTGTAAGTTCAATTCATTTGAAAAATGAAAATAACCATAAATAGTTTTTATTTTTTAATTTTTTTAAATAAAAAGGAATTAATCAGGCAGTAAATACTATAATTACCATTTACAGTTATTTATATTATTGACGCTTTCGCTTAACGAAATACATAACGATAATATTTTACAAATAAAGTATAGATTAATTTTACTAATGCATGCTTAAATTGCTTTATAGAATAGAATTAAATCCTACTATTTAACAATTTTAAAATAATATTAATCTGTCGCTTTAAAATACAAAATACAAAAAAAAAATTAGTAAATACTTCTTTATACAAGTAAGAAATAATTATAAAAAATGGACGATTTTTTATCAATTAATTTAAACTTTCATTTATTTTGCTGTTAAAATAAATGGATTTACGGTTCTTGCCACTTTTTCTAGATATGATATTTATAAAGTTCTTTTTTTTTAATATCAAATTAAAGAAACTTGGAAAGCTAGATTGTCGTACCGGACCACGTGATACATAATACCGCAAATTCACCGGTGTTATAAAACATAAAAGCCTTCTTTATAATGATAACTTTTATAAACTTTTTAACCTCACAAAAACGTTCTTATAACTTCGTCACTTTAACGTGAGTAAAGTTAAAGCGAACGATGCAAGAAGCACCAACAATCGTTAATTAATACAAAATAATGCCTCGTGAATCAATACATCGTCGATTCCACAACATTATCGCCAATTTTTATTCAGACAAACCAATTTCTTTACATACAACTCTATACCGATTTTTTATTTCTCCAATTCCGAGTGGACAAACATTCACACATTTAGTTCATAAATATTTTTATATTACTAATCCATGTTTCTTTTCTATTGGAAGATGCTTAAGAGAGCGAAACTTCGGTTAATTTGAGTAAGGGGTAAAAAGTCGGTCCCTCACGGGGCAGTGGTGATATCCACATGAATGACAATTATTAAGTAAAAAATGCTGAAATTTTATTCAAAAGTTTACTTAAATGCACATATTCTTAATAGTGTAACCTTACAAATATTATCACGTGATCTATTAAGGAGAACGTAAGATCGTCTTACAGAGAATCAATGTAATATGAATTCACGTTAATCATTTGGTCATTTACTTTTAAATTTCCTTTTTGTTTCAATTTTATTTTTACATTTTTATTACCTTTGGTTATTTATCTGTAACTGTGTAACACTGGCAAATTTGCCAAGAATTATAAATGCTCGGAAAATCAAAAGGCCACGGTTTTTTTCTTTGAATCAATTAAAGTAAACTATTAAAATATACAAGTTACATAAATAATTAACTACGAAAGTTGAAATCTTGAAAGTTATCGAAAACCTTAATTTTTAAGAAAATGACTCGAGATACGTTGTCAAACGACACCACCAGTAAAGCTCAAGCTCTCGATGATTATGTTTTATTAGGACGTAGTGGATTAAGAGTTTCTCCATTATGTCTTGGAACTTTGGTAAGATCATTTTTTTATAATTTGCCAAAATTATGATGTAAATAATTAATTATAATATTTTTTAATAACACTATATATTTGTTAACATATATTTAAAGACTTTTGGAGAACAATGGGTAAAGTTGAATATTAATTTGAATTAATGATTAAAAAAAAAAATGAAAAAAAAATGATTACTTAATATTTTAACGTTATATAAATAGGGATATGGCGTTAATAAAGAGGAATCGAAAAAAGTTTTTGATCTTTATTATGAAAAGGGTGGAAATTTTTTTGGTAATTTTTTTTTTTTTTTTAGTTTAGTTACGCAATCATTTGACTTTATCAACAAAAAGTTATTTTAATACTTTTTATTCCTTAGACACCTCTTGTAATTACAATTTGGGTGAAGTAAGTAATAAAAAAGCAAATTGTTTTTTTAGTTAATTACAATATTAATGTTTATTAATAAAATACTTAGAGTGAACGTTTCCTCGGAGATTATGTTTCCGATAAACGGTCCGATGTTGTGATTGCAACAAAATATTCGGGTATGAATTATAAACTTTCTATGTAACATAATTTAATTTTTAAATATTCAATAATTAATAATTTTCGAAATTTAATTCTTAGGTAATGTAACTGCTGTACAAAAAGATAGGAGATTTAATCCGAATAGCGGTAAATTATAGTAATATCTCATGTTATTAAAAATAAGTTGAAACTTATATATGTATATCTTAGGAGGAAATCATCGAAAGAGTCTTGTAGAAAATTTAGATGGAAGTTTGAAACGGTTAAATATAAGTTATGTTGATATTTTACATATCCATTTCTACGAGTATCGAACTCCAATTGAAGAATTTATGAGATCATTGGATGACGTAGTTCGATGTGGAAAAGCAAGTTAATCATTTTTACAGTTTTTCATTCAAAATAAGTTCTTCTAAATATTATTTTAAAAAAATATATTAGGTTTTATATGTTGCTGTAAGCGATATTCCATCTTGGGGACTCGCTCGAGCTAATACTATTGCTGAATTACGTGGGTGGAGGTATGAAATTATAATAATTTCTTTAACCCGATATTAAACATATTAAATTCACGCATGTTTATAAACTGTATTTTAAGCCCTTTCATTGGACTTCAAACTCGTTATAATTTGTTGGATCGATCGTTAGAATTTGACTTACAACCTGCTTGTGCTGAACTTGATGTGTGTATAACTAAATTCACGTTGCGTTGGAATTAAACCATATATAAGTATTAAATTTATATTTTAAAAACCTTTTAGGTTGGAATTCTTCCATGGGGTATCGTTGCCGAAGGGTAATAAATCATATTTTTTTTTTTATGTTTTTAAAATAATAACGTTATATTAATTTTTTTATAATAGTTTTCTTACCGGAAAATATACGAGAGAATCAGCTGCTGCTTTAAAACCAGAAGCTCGCGGTTTTTCAGTTGCAATACATTCAAAAATTGAAAAAAATTGGAAAATTTTAGAAGAAGTTACTACCATTTCAAAAGAGATTGATAGAACTCCTGTTCAGGTAATTATTGTATTCAATCTTTTATAAAAAATTAACAGTTTTTATATATTTTCCTCATTTATAAATTAGGTTGCTTTAAATTGGGTTCAACAAAAACCTGGTATTACTTCTCCTATAATTGGTGCTAGAACTGTCACTCAGCTTGAAGAAAATCTTAAAACACTTGAATTTAAGTAAGTTAAAACTATTAAAAAAAAAAAGTGTTCGCTAACGTAAATTTATAACAAAAAAAAAAAAAAAATTTATTTTCAGATTGACACCTGAACAAATGAAACGACTTGATGAAGTATCTAAACCAGCTGAAATTCCATTTCCTCACTCGTATACTTACATTTTTGATAGACATCTCGGAAAAAACATTGAAGTTCCAAAAAAATTTGAACCTGTTGCGAGTGCATACAATTTTGGAAGAATAAACAATAATTAATGAATCGATTACGACTTTATTACATTTTTTTTAAATTTATTTTTAATTATTTTTTTCTTTCTTAATTTTTTAGTTGAAATAAAAAAAAAATTAATATACTGTAAAAAATTAAATTATGAACGACCATATTTTAAGTAACATAAAAAGCCAAACATTTGTATGATTTGGATTGGTTTGAAAATGTTGTGAATAAGAATGTATCGACCATATCGATCAAATTTACAGTTTTAGTAACATACAAAAACGTAAAAGAAAATATTTTTTTTGAATAAAATTATTAAAATGGAAATTTTAGTCCTTATTGTTCTTTATTAGACGTGCAGATCATCGTCATAAATGCCATTATATGCATTTTTGCCCTTCGATAAAGTACTTCCATCCAAATAAAACCGAATTTTCTGTAGTACTAGGGCGAATTCGCCGACAGAAAATTATACATTCTATTCAACGGTTCATTAAATAAGAATTTGAAAAACTATAAATAAGTTGAATTTTCTATACTTACTTATACTGTAATATTATAAAATGGAACTTGTAAAATTAAATGATGAAAATTCTTTTGATCCAACACCAAAATTAAAATCTAGTCCTGTACCGATTTTTTTTATTTCTTTTAATGAGTATGATAATAATTGTATTCATTGTGGAGAAGAATACACAAAGACGATTTTTAGTGACCAAAAATATTGCAAAAAATGTTTATCGAGTTATTTAACTAATATAACCGATAATAATATATACTTGGACGTATATTTATTCACAAAGGACTTGGAATGTATTGAACACAGAATAAATAAAATCAAAATACCACAAAATTTCCAAGAATGCTGTAGAAATTGCTTGATAGTATTATATTTTAAACAAATATCTATTAAATATGTTGATGGGTTTAATATAGTAGATTCTTACAATTTATACGAATACGTGATTGAAAGTGAAAAATATTGTAAACTATGTGAAAAATTATTATATCAAGGAACAGAAGGAACAGGTTATTTTAACAAATTTAAATTATGTTCAACTTGTTATATAATCTCTTCTGGATGTATAGAATCAACCTTAACTAAAAAAGTCATTTCAATTATTTATTTGCCGTGGTGGGAAAATAAATCTTATTGTTATTGTGAAGAAACATTAGTATTTACGTCAAACTGTCAAAAATATTGTGAGAATTGTTTTATATTTTTTATTGGATGTAGATATTGTTTAACAACAAATATTATTTTTGGAATTACAAATCAATCACAATGTAAAAAATGTAAAAGAGTATCAATTATTATACTAGACAACAAAAAGATTATTAGTATTAACAGCGGGAATAATGTTTTAGATGATTTTCTTATTAGTATAAGACATGATCAATTGAAAATAGCTAAATTCGCCAACGATTTAAAAAATATTGATAAATATTTCGTTCCATCCAAAATTTGTGATGATTCTTTATGCGGTAAAGTTTTGTCAAAAAAATTAATGAAATATATACCATATTCTCAATTTACAAATGTAAAAAAAATAGCAGAAGGAGGATTTAGCATCATATATCGAGCAACTTGGTTAGATGATAGCAAAAAAAATAAAATTGTCATTTTAAAAAGATTTAAAAATCTTCAATATGCTAAAAAATATTTTTTGAAAGAGGTAAATACTTAAAAATTCATATTTGCATTTAATGTTTGAAAAATATTTTAATTTTAATCTCGAAATTTATAGTTGGAGTCGAATCATCGCTGTTATAAATTTGGTTCATATGTTAATGAAACTTTTGGTTTTACAAAAGGTCCCAAATTGGATGATTATATATTAGTTATGCAATATGCATCGGAAGGAGATTTACATAAATATTTACAAAAGAAATTTACAGAAATTAATTGGGAACGAAAGATATCATTTTTATATGATATTTTATTAGGGTATTTATATTTAATTCTTAAATATATTGATAATGATTAATTTGTAATACTAATTTAATAATCTTATTTTAGACTTAAGAATCTCCATGATTCAAATTTCATACATCGAGATTTCCATAGTGGAAATATATTGGTAAATATTTTAAATAGCTATTATGATACTACTAGTATTTCTTATAGAATAGGAGATCTAGGATTATCACGATCAGCAAATGATACCTCATCAGATGATGAAATATATGGAGTAATACCTTATATTGCACCAGAAATATTTAAAGGTTCAGCATTTTCTAAAGAATCCGATATTTATAGTTTGGGTATGATTATGTGGGAACTTACAACAGGTTGTAAGCCTTTTGCTAATGTTGAACATGATCATTGTCTTATTTTTAATATTATTGATGGTGTACGACCTGAAATTACAGAAGATACACCAGAATGTTTTGCTAATTTAATGAAAAGTTGTTGGGATTCTGATCCAAAAAAAAGACCTTCTATAGGTGACATTGAGAGTATTTGTTATAATTGGCTTTATCAATATACCAATAATCAATTTTATCAAGCTGAATTAAAAAGGAAAATTTTAATAGATTCGAAGAAGCTTGGTTCCAAGTTTAGTGAAAAGCCCCATCCAAAAGCTATTTATACAAGTAGATCATTAAATTCTTACATTTCTAAATGTTCATCTATCAATTTTTCATCAAATGGTATGTATACTATTTTGATAAAAGTCATCTTTGGATAGTTAAATTAAATTTCTTTTTTTATAGATTACATCTCAAATGATCTAGAATTTGACATAGATATTAAAAGGTATGTATTTAAAGTTAAAATATCTGTTAAATTAAATATATATAAATTCAACAATTCAAATAAAATTAAATTTTTATCAGTAGTGAATTCAACGTAATTGGAACTAAGCGAAACATTGAAGAATTAAATATTAATTCTTATGAAAATAGTAATGGTAAATATATTATTTGAATAAATTTTATTGAAATATTTATGTTTATATTTTATTTATTTATTTTTTTTTTTAAAAAAAAAATAGAAAAACGCATTAAAACTAGCTCCAGTTAATCAAGGATGACAATTAAGAAGAATAGGAAATGAAAAAAGTTTCATATAAATTACTATATATTGTTTATTATCAATAATTTATTTTACAGTATGAATAAATTTTATTGTATAATATTATTTAATTAGGTTTATCATTTTTTGCAAGATGAGATTTAAGTAAGAAATAGCATAAATTTGATCTGTAACGCAACTAAAATGATAAATAAAAATTGGAAATAACTTTAAACGGTTAAAAAGACTTAACAAGTTAATTAAGTCGCGAATTATTTCGTGTATAAAATTAAAATTCGCTTCAACTTATTTATAAAAGCGCATGAAAAAAAATGTGTCGAATCAAAACCAAATTATTTTTTATTTCATATAAAAAACGCTTTAAAAAAATTCATGGTGTTTCGTTTAGAAAATAATAATGATGATGGTAGTGAAAATATAAATAAGTCGGTTAATTTGAGATGATTAATGGTTAACTATTTTGACATAATTCTGGTCAGATTTAATAATGCGGGCCAGTGATATGCAATTGTAGCCACGTGTTCAAACTCCTTTCAACTAAGTTTATAGCAGCTAAAGAAAAAATATATTATAAAATATTATCTTTTATAATTAATGTTATTATATAAATATCCAAAGGATTTTAAAACAATTATAAATTGATTGGGTAAACCTTCTATTGTCATTTAGAGCGAGAGTGAATTTTTTTTTAAATTAATTCCAACTTGCGTTAAAAAAAATAATTAAAATCAATAATATATTTGAGAATATTTGTATAGTTTAATTAATGACTTTTTAAGAAGTTTGTTAAATGCTTCAGGTCTTTTATCATTATAGAAAATTTCATAACTTTACTAATTAATACATAAATTGAAACTTCATAGGATTAGTTTTTATTAACAAAAAAATATTAATGAAAGATTTTCTTGCGTTTTCTCTACCAATACTGTAAATACACAATGAAATTCGATAAACTGGATTCTTGATAAACTGGATCATAAGTAAAATTCTGATATCACGGAGCCAAGACATGGAATGGATTATTACAGTTTATAATAAATTTGTTCTCGACATACCGGATTTCTCAATATACCAAATTCTTGAAAAAATTTTCTATTGAAACAGACATACGCAAAATTTCAAACAATTTATGTATTTTAACATCCTATTATTTAATTAAAAGCTCTATTTAAGTAGAATATAATGGTATTTCATAACATATTATTTATTTTCCGAAAAAAAAAATATTGTAAATTGTGATTAGCTTAAAAGGTTACACAAAGTTTCTCCATTTTAAATAACAAAATTTTTCTAAATTTAAAATCAACAATGATGAAGTTATGTTTTTAGAATTCTTAAAGTATGGGTTGACAACAAATTCATACCAAAGTTTCGTCCAAGTTCTAAATCCTCTCGACTTCTTTACAATTTTACTGATCCTAACTTGATATTGTGTATAAAATTCATTCTTTTTTGTAACCCTTATATGGCTTTAAACCATAAGCTAAGTCCGAATAATTTTCTAAGGTTTAATAACTAAAAAGTAGCAATTGTAATTGATCATAAATCCAATAATCCAATGTTTTTAAAATTATACAAATTCAATTATAATTATATACTGTATGTATGATAAAATTAACATTTAGTTGCGTAACAAGTTGACTAACGAAAATTTATAATATTTTAGAGATCAACATATACAATATTATTATTATATTTTTAATAAAAAACAATTCCCGCCTCAATAAATTTTCAAATTTAACTACGCAAGTTGATAATTCAAATAAAGATTAAAGAACAGTCAATAATATTTAAATATATTTTTAAAGAATGGATTGAATAAGTCGTCTTTTTGATACATTTTAATAATGTTACTTATTTTTGCACTATAGTTAAATTGGCACAAGCTTATTTTTAATTTGCTATTTCCTTTGGAAATAATAGATTGTATATTAGTCATATAAAGGGTCTAATTTCTTTATTTCATATCATTTTATTAATTATAGATTCGACACGAACACTTTTTTAATATGTACCGTAAGTATTACCATGCATCAAGGACCCCGAAAAATACATAAAAAGGTCACATTTGAGTTAGAACCTAAATTTTCATGAAAATCTTGCCTTTTCTAGATAGTGCCGGCCTAAATTTTATTGTCCGTTTTGATACTGACCAGCATTATCATAATTCCGGCCCTGAAAAGTTGCTTATTTTAGGCCAAAATCTTGCCGATCATTTATGACCTCCATATGTATTTTTCGGGGTCCTATGCATCATTTGTCAAACTGCGCCTTAAAAATATTCATACCAATACGTAAAAGGAAAATTATTAAATAGAAATAGGGGTATGTAGATCATCATCATTACACAATGCACAAAGTATTAGTTTTATATAAGACCTTACCCATATAAGATAGTTAACCAATTAAAATACAATATTAAATCACATAACTTGTGTACGTAAGAATTAAGTAATTCATTATTTTTAAGAATTTGAAAAATTATAAATACAGTATATCGAATTTTCCAATACAGATACTCGTAACAAAGATGGAACTAATAAATGTAAATCAAGAAAATTCTTTTAATCCAACACCAAAATTAAAATCTAGTCCCATACCAATTTTTTTTGTTTCTTTTAATGGGGATGATAATATTTGTATTCATTGTGGAGAAAAATACACAATGACGTTAATTTATGAACAAAAATATTGTAAAAAATGTTTATCGAATTATTTAACTAATATGGATAATGATTCTAGTAAACATAAGACCGATACTAGAAGTGGAACCGTTATAATTGATAATATCAATATGTACTTGGACGTATATTTATTAAAAAAAGACTTGGAATGTAGTAAATATGAAATAAGTGAAACAAAAGTATCGCAGAATATTCAAGAATGCTGTAGAAATTGTTTGATAATATTATTTTTTAAACAAATAATTGGTCGTTATCATAATTTTTATTATAATTATCAGGATTTGAGTACTAAATACAAAAACGTGATTGAAAGTGAAAGATATTGTAAACTATGTGGAAAATTGTTATATCAAGGAACAGATCATTATATAATGAGAGAATTTAAATTATGTTCAAATTGTTATCTAATTTCTTCTGGATGTATAGAATCAACCTTAACTAAAAAAGTTATTTCAATTGTTTATTTGCCGTGGTGGGAAAATACATCTGATTGTTATTGTTATGAAAAATTAGTATTTACATCAAACTGTCAAAAATATTGTGAGAATTGTTTTATATTTTTAATTGGATGTAGATATTGTTTAACAACAAATATTATTTTTGGAATTACAAATCAATCACAATGTAAAAAATGTAAAAGAGTATCAATTATTATACTAGAAAACAAAAAGATTATTAGTATTAACAGCGGGAATAATGTTTTAGATGATTTTCTTATTAGTATAAGACATGATCAATTAAAAATAGCTAAATTCGCCAACGATTTAAAAAATATTGATAAATATTTCGTTCCATCCAAAATTTGTGATTATTCTTTATGCGGTAAAGTTTTTTCAGAAAAATTAATGAAATATATACCATACCATATTCTCAATTTACAAATGTAAAAAAAATAACAGAAGGAGGATTTGGTATTGTATATCTAGCAACTTTGATAGATGGTTCCAAATATTTAACGAATTATGATGAATATGATACGAAAAATAGAGATAAGCTTGTCATTTTAAAAAGATTTAAAAACTTTCAATATGCTAAAAATTATTTTATGAGTGAGGTAAATATTTTAATAATTTACATTTATTCACTTAATGTTTATTAAAAATATTTTAATTCTAATCGAAATTTATAGTTGAAAACAAATCATCATTGTTATAAATCTATATATAATGTTATTAAAACATTTGGTTTTACAAAAGATCCAAAATTGAATGATTATATATTAGTTATACAATATGCATCAGAAGGAGATTTACATAAGTATTTACAAAAGAAATTTGCAGAAATCAATTGGAAACAGAAAATACATATTTTAATTAATATTTTAATTGGGTATTTATTATTTAAATTTATTGGTTAATAAATAATTCACGATAATAAATTTAAATTCATTATTTTTATTTTAGACTTGAGGCTATTCATAATGCAAATTTTATACATCGAGATGTCCACAGTGAAAATATATTGGTAGATTTGCCAAGCAAATATTACGTAAATTGTAAAATCGGAGATTTAGGATTATCACGACCTGCAAATGATACCTCATCGGATAATGAAATTTATGGTGTGATACCTTATATTGCACCAGAAATATTTAAAGGGTCTGCATTTTCTAAAGAATCTGATATTTATAGTTTGGGTATGATTATGTGGGAACTTACAACAGATTGTAAGCCTTTTGCTAATGTTGAATATGATCATACAGTATTCTTATTTTTAATATTATTGATGGTGTACGACCTGAAATTACAGAAGATACACCAGAATGTTATGCTGATTTAATGAAAAGTTGTTGGGACCTGATCCCAAAAAAAGACCCTCTATATATGAAATTGAGAAGATTTGTTATTCATGGAATCTTGGAGGAAATGTTATTTATCAATTTTATCAAGCTGAATTTAAAAGGATAATGTTAATAGACTCAAAGAACCTTAGTCCCAAGTTTAGAAAAAAACCTCATCCAAAAGCTGTTTATACAAGTAGACCTTTAAGTTCTTACATTTTTAAATGTTCATCTACCAATTTTTCATTAAATAGTACGTACTAACTATTAAGTCATCTTTTTTTTTTTTGATGAATAATTAATTACTTTTTTTTTTATAGATTATATTTCAAAAGAACTAGAATTTGACATAGATATTGAAAGGTATTTAAAGTTAAAAAAAATATTTGTTAAGTTATTTATAATTTAAATCCAAATAATTCACAATTTTTATATTAGTAACAAATCAAACGTACTTGAAACTAAGCGAAATATTGAAGAATTAAATATTAATTCTTATGAAAATAATGGTAAATATTATTTTTATTTGATTAAAATTTATTTGAATATTATTATTTACTTTTATTATTTACTTTTTTTTTTAAGAAAATACATTAAAATTAATTCCCATCTATCAAAAACAATAATGAAATGAAAAAAAAAATTTCGTATAAATATCGTATATTTTTTATTTAATATTTTAATTATATATAAATATAATTTTTTTTTAATTATTCAATGATTGCAATTAGTCTTGGTGAGAATGACTTATTTTCGCAAAGATTAAGAATTAATAAGGCGCAGCTAAAATAAAAAATCTTAACAAATAGAAAGGCCTTAAATCGTACCTTGAACTAAGTTTTTCGAAAGAGTTGTTTCGTGTATGAAATTAAAATTCATTTCTACTTATACTGTATATTCATGAAAAAATGTAGGATTTTGATAGCGTGTTAAAATTCTTATAACCGAATCCGAATCAAATGATTTTTACTTACATATAATAAACGTTTAAAAGGAATTCGTGGAGTCTCGTTTAAAAAATTTCTTCTTGTATTCTTATGTAACTTGACGATCCTCGAGGTGATTTTTTTTTTATTTGTATATAATAATTTATTACAAAAAAGTCACTTATCTTCTGCGCATTGGTCGGATTGGTCGGATTGAACGAATTACTATTTCTGGATTATCCTTTTCACCCAGTCTAATTTTTTCAGACCGGATAATTTGACGGATTCCGTCAAATTATCCGATAAGATTACATACCTTGAGATCATCAGACTTTAGAAAAATTGGTGTCACATCAGATTAATATATAGTAAAAAAAAAAAAAATTTTTTTTTTATTTATCATCAGATGATTTTCACATTTAAAAATTTTTATATGCGATTGATTTAAATATACTGCATCCTAAAATATCCTTTAATATTATTACAATAAATATCTTAGCTTTGTGGAAATTAATTAGTACTGCTACGCTAATACGCTAATTTCTACACGGATTTTGTTCCAAATATATATGAAAGCTGTTGAGCGACTTCGCCTAAACCACGAGTATTACTCCAACATCATAAAATAGAGATACAAGTAGTTTCGGGTCTACTGAGCAACTTCACTTAATCTTCCAGAGGCTATTACTTTAATCAAGCTCGGTGAAAATTAAGTTTTAAACCTGCTGCCAATTGAAATCTCACTAAAAAAAAAAAAAAAATATTTCTATAATGAATGCTACAGTTAGTTTGATGAAAAATTGAAAAATAATAAAAAGTTGCTATTGAGAGACATTCAATAAAATATTTAGAAGTTTATAAATAGGTTTAAGTCTAAAATTTATCATAAACGAAAGATGAAAAAAAAAGGTGTAATACAAAAGTCTGGTGATTTACCAGTATGGTAAATGTGGTTAGCCTTACTTGCTTAGATTAAATTTCAATCACGTTTTCTGTGCAACCATATTAACTATATTAGCCATCTCAATCACAGTTTACCCACTTTCGAATTCCTTCGATGAAAAGTTTCTAAAGACCTTTTTTTTTTTTAATTTTTTTAAGTCTCAAAGCCAATGAAAAATTCCAACGTCATCAAAAACCAATACTAAGGGCAGTGTTACGTCACATTTTTATTTCTATGAATTTATCATTTTTGGTTTATACTTTGCTCATATTTTTTTAAGCTAACTCGGGCAAAGAATTATCCAGAAAATCAAAGAGCCATTAATTTATAAAAAAGAAACAAGCAAACATTTATATATAAATATACATCACAAGAAATTTTAAGAATATTTATTTTTGAGAATATGGCACAAGATACTTCGTCTATTAAAACCGCTAAAGCTCTCGATGATTATGTCTTATTGGGGCGTAGTGGATTGAGAGTTTCTCCATTATGTCTTGGTACTGCGGTAAGATCATTTTTGTAAGCTAAATAAATATCTTTGACAAAACATATATTGTTAACATATTCTATACATTGAAGACTTTTGGAGAACAATGGGTAAGTTATTTATATAATTTGAATTGATGATAAAAAAAAAGATCTCTGAATTTCTGAATATTAACACTTCAAAATAGGGAATCGGCGCTAATAAAGAAGAATCGAAAAAAGTTTTTGATCTTTATTACGAAAGAGGCGGAAATTTTTTTGGTAATTTTTCAGTTATGCAATCACTTGATTTAATGTTATAGAAAATTTCCTATTTAATAATACGCAAATCTTTAGATACTGCCTGTAATTATAATGATGGTGAAGTAAGTAATAAAAAATAAATAAAAATTTTTTTTAGTCAAACAAATATTAATGTCCATTAATAAAATATTTAGGGCGAACGTTTCCTTGGAGATTATGTTTCCGATAAACGATCTGATGTTGTGATTGCAACAAAATATACGTGTATGAACCATGAATTAACTAAATAATATCGTTTCAAATTTGAATTTTCAATAATTTTTTAGATTTAATTCTTAGGTAATACAACTTCTATGCAAAAGGATGTGAGACTCAATCCGAATTTAGGTGAGCTAGTAGACTATTCATAATACAAAATTAAATATTTTTTAATGTTGATTGATAATAAATGTAACTTAACTGTTAAATACATAGGAGGAAATCATCGAAAAAGTCTTGTGGAGAATCTTAATGAGAGTTTGAAACGATTGAACATGAGCTATGTCGATATTTTATATGTTCATATTTATGAGTTTCGAACTCCAATCGAAGAAATTATGAGATCATTAGATGACGCCGTTCGAAGTGGAAAAGTAAATAAACTATTATTTTATAATGTTTGCTCGAAATAATTTTTCTAAATATCATTATTAAAAAATATATATATATATATAGGTATTATACGTTGCTGCAAGCAATTTTCCATCTTGGGCACTCGCTCGCGCTAATACATTTGCAGAATTACGTGGATGGAGGTACAATAATTTTGATTTGTAGATATTAAAGATGGGCTTCAAGTTAATACATTTTCATCAAACGTGTTTAGTTCTTTCATTGGACTTCAAACGCGGTATAGTTTATTGGATCGATCATTAGAATTTGATTTACAACCTGCTTGTGCTGAACTTGATGTATGTATTATAAAATTATACTCTATTTGAATTATGTACGGTTACTAAAGTTACTAAATCTATATATATTTAAAAACTTTTAGGTTGGAATTATTCCGTGGGGTGCCGTTGCCGAAGGGTAATTATTAATTATTGATGCTTTTTTTTATATTATAATATACTCATAATATTAATTATTTTCATAATAGTTTTCTTACCGGAAAACATACGAGAGAATCAGCTGCTAACTTAAAATCGGAACATCGCAGTCATAAAGTAGCAGATCATTCAAAAGTCGAAAAAAATTGGAAGATTTTAGATGACGTAATTACTGTTTCAAAAGAGACTGGCAGAACTCCTGTTCAGGTGGTGTTTAATCTTAAAACTATAGTTTTTAATTGTTTTCAACAATTGAATATTAATTTTTTTTTTCTAATACATAGGTCGCTATGAACTGGGTTCAACAAAAACCTGGAATTACTTCTCCTTTAATTGGTGCTAGAACAGTTACTCAGCTCGAAGAAAATCTTAAATCACTTGAATTCAAGTGAGTATAATTGTTTGAAAGTTTTTTTTTTTTAAAAAAAAAAAATTGTTTACTAACGTAAATTAAAAAAAAAAATTCTAATATTATCAGATTGACGCCTGAACAAGTGAAAAGACTGGATGAAGCATCTAAACCAGCTGAAATTCCATTCCCTAATTCGTTTGTTAGCAATTATGATAGATTCATCGGAAAAAACATTGAAGTGCCTCGTAAATTTGAAGCTATCTCGACTTCATGTAACTTTGGAAGAATAAATCTTTAATTTATTTCACAAGGCTCAATTTTTGTTTTCTCTCGATTGTTTATAAATATATTTTTTCTTCAATAAAATAAAATATTCAGAACTTTTGACACGATCCTCTTGAAGAATTTACTTCTTTTGAAATGACGTTCCCAGTGACTTTTACTGAATTTTCTTTTTATATTATTTTTCTTTTTATTTTTATTTTTATTATTCTTAAGCTGAAGACGTTGCCGAAGGTTTTTTCATTTTTGGGAAATTTTTTTTTATTTATTTTTTTTTATATATATATTATTTTTATCAATAGTTTTATTTTTGAATTTTATTTCAATTTTATTTTATTATTATCATTGTTTTCATTATTTTCCAGATTTTCCTTTATCCAATAACTCACTATTTTTTCTATAAATTAGATCAGTTTATTAATTGATCATCATCATTCGTGTTCAGACTATTTACTGGTCTAGTTAATATTGCACTTTTTCGAATGCTTCTTTGGAAGAATGTTTCGAGTAGAATTTTTCTTTTGATATTGGATTAAAGGCCGTGGTATTTACGAGCGATCTGTTTAAGCGGGTTAGGTAGATGAAATGATCGGTATGGCTAAAAATTATTTAAAAATGTAGACGTTGACGAAAAAATTTTGTTCAGCATGAAAATAAAACGACCTTTCAAAAATTTCATTAGATGTTCAACAAATATTTCCAGAAAATATGTATACTGCATACACGGTATAAAGTTTCTCGAATCATTTTATTAATTTCAGCCTCAGATGACAATTGACTATGGTATATACGGATAAAATATCATATTTGTTTAAATTTTAGTACATGCAGTTCAGACGAATAGTGGCAGTGATGGTGAATTGGTGATGAAGTCATAGTTACAAATCATCGATATATGTACGCAGTTACAAGTACGGTAAAATTTATGTTAAAATCATGTTCTTTTTCTTACAATCAAAAAAATTTTACTATTTTTTTAATTTTTTTCTTTGTATGTTACCGTAAGAGATCTTTCAATAATCAATCTTAAACATTTGTTCGTGTCAATACTATTTATTCTTGCTGAAATAAGCGAATACTTAACCTGCAGATGATTAATTCTTAATTTACCTTAGAATTT